AAATTACTCTGAATTAAAAACACTGATCATTTATTGAACAGGATGGAATCATTTCAGATTTGAACTTTCAGAAGTTTGATTCTGAATATGATCAAACTTTTCCTTTAACATAACCCAATATGCTTTGATTTTGTTTCATCTGTTCCAGTGTTGTAGAAGGTTTCTTAATGCTGTATTGTGTTTAAGTTTTTTTTATTAATTATAATTTTATTGCTTTAGATGTTTTCTGTAACTCTGTACCTCAGACTGAACTCTGCTGAAACACTGAGTTAAAATCAGTTTCATAAAGTTGGACTCTAATGCGACTTAATGACACTTAAACATTTCTCACATTCAAAGTTTTATGATTATTTGGAGATTTCCTCACAGTGTTATTCTGAGAGCGACAGCAGACATTATTGACTTTCAGACCTTTTTCTTTCTAATTTCCTCTTATTCCCACAGCTCAGTCTCCATTTTCTTGTTTTTACATTAAAAAAGCAGCATTTTCATCACATAGACCTGCCCTTCTTTTGGCCGCCATTGTTTTCCTTAAAAAGCTTTGCTCCAGATCTCGACTCTCCTTCTTAAAACACAGAAAAACAAACAGAAAAGTTCAGGTTAACCTTTCTCCCAGTTATGGTTCAAGGCGTGTTTTCTCACTGTCTCGTCTGCTCAAGTATTATGCAACGTCTCTTTGCCCTTATTCCCAGAAATGGGGGGAATCACCATGGCAACTAGTGATTCTGCATTCTCTGAATCTGGGAATTTTTTTTTTTTTTTTTGTACTACTTGTCATCATCTTACTTCCTGCAATAAGGAGGTTATTTGGTTCTTTTGAATCTTTATTTTTTGCCTCCTTGTCAGTCTATAGTTTTTTTTTGTTTTTTTATATATATATGGGGAGAGAGAAAAAAATGGTGTTATCGTGTGCTGAAATTAAAGTCATAGGGAAGTCATATTTAAAGGTCAAATCATTCTGTCTTAAACATGTATATAAATGTACTCTTTATCAGACGATAATGTCCCAAAA